GAAATAATTTAAGGATTGTATTAATGCTGCCCTGAATTTCAGTTGACAAAGATTGCAACGTCAGTTCTGTCGCTTATACAAGCAGCAACTGGAACCATGAAACCATGATACATACATATGTATTTATGTATATGAATGTCATGAATTACTAATAATATTAGAAAGAAATCTAATTTCTTAATAAATAATTTTAGGAAAGGTGCCAATCTTAAAATTCAAGATTTATCAGTATGAACGTAAAGCAAATGAAAAACTAAGTTTACATCTTTGGACCTCCTGCTTAAGATATTTTAATACTTTGTTCTCTCGGATCTGCTACAAGTGACCCGTGAAATATACTTATAATGAGGAGGTGTGAGGTGGTTATCGCCGATATCCACCGGACTAATTTTAAATTGCTCACGCTCAAAAATAATTTCACCCGTATTTTTTCGTTTTTCTGAATGGGCATGTTTACGCCCGTGGTGGAATTTTCCAAAGAAATTTCAGCCAAAATTCGGATTTTTGAAAACGCTATAACCTTTCGAATTTTAACCCGATTTCATAACCCGATTTCGGAAAATGAATTCTAATGTTCTCAGGGTTGTAATTCTGAACACAAATTGGGCTTAATTTTTGAAATCGGGTTAAAATTCGAAAAGTTTTAGCGTTTTTAAAAATCCGAATTTTAGCTGAAATTTTTTTTGGAAAATTCCACCACGTGTGTAAACATGCCCATTCAGAAAAACGAAAATATATGGGTCCACTTATTTTTGAGCGTTAACAATTTAAAATTTGTCCCGTGGATATCGGCGATAACCACTTCACACCATCGCATTGTTAGCAACAAAAATCTACCCGAAAGTTGGTCGACTGTATTCTAATCCTAAGTTTCATGTGTCTCAACGAATGCAAGCTGCTTAAAAGGTGAAAGCTAACAAGGATTGGTCAATTCTTCCTACCTCATTTATAACGGTGAAGCAAACATTTGGACTATGAAGAAACCAAACTGCCACCACGTATGATCCCCAAAACCAAAACGTGGAATGTGTCCACGAAAATGAGAACTTTTGCGCCCTCCATGGACCTCTTTATTCATAGATTTTAGTACTTTGTTTCTCTCGGATATTTGTATGTATGTATTATGTGAGGAGGATTCCTACCCATAGGGGTAGACATCCAGCTGCGCAGGTCACCAGTTGGACCTATCGCAGACACCTCAATGCACTCGCATGCGATTATTGTGTCGGAGCCTCTCTCGATTCCCCAGCTACAAAGCTGGCGAATCTGCCAGACCTTAAAAAGGCCAGCACGTCTTTGAGAGGATACTCCCATACTTCCTCCACCCTTAAGGTAGAACGAAGGAAGGTCCTAAATCTCAGGGCACTGTAAGCGGGACAGTCTGTAAGTATATGAGCCATTGTCTCGTCCCCTTCCCCGCATTCCTCGCAGATGGGAGATTCAACTAGACCCATCTTATACAGATGCCCATTCAAATTACAGTGTCCTGTGATGGCAAAAGTTGTTAGCCTCATACCATCCCTCGTGGGCCCAAGTGATTTCCCACTTAGACCCTCGTAAGGTATTGGCAGGGCCAACTTTGAGAACTTACAATTAAGTAAGTTGGACCAATAGACCCGATGATCATTCTGAGCCCATTGTTTTATTGCAAATTTTCCAAATGCTGAGTTGACAGGGATAACTGGCTCTGGACCGCATGTTGTTATACTAGCAGCCTCTTTAGCCAGCTTATCCACGTCTTCATTACCCCATAAACCCCAATGGGAAGGGATCCAATGTAAGGTAATGTCTTTGTGAATGCTCAATTGCTGCAGCGCCCTATGAAGCTCAACCGTGAGGGAGGAAACCAGCCGCTCACTAAGAAGAGAATCAAGGACACTGCGATAAATTCTCTCGGATATTTAAATAGAATTATAATATTTAGAAGCAAGAATCTACCCGATAGCGCGATCGAATTCTAATTTTCCTACATATGTATTGTTAAGACCCTCATATAGAATAAGCTATATATGTAAGACGTTACATCAAATCAAAAGAAATCCACACGTATCATTAGTTCATTCATTCGTGTCTGTCCTGTGACACGTGATGATGATCATGATGATGTTTTAAGTTAGTTAGTTCATGAAATAACTATCCCCGTTTAAGGATTGAGCAACTATGCGTAGTCAGCGAAAGGTAACACGCCACTCTCAACCAATTGTAAATAAGCTTATTCAACAATAAGTCCATCAAACTTACTTAGTTTAATAATCATGTTTGAGCAAATGCGAAGCCAGTCGTGAGTTAACTGCGAGACGTCAATAAATCCTCTTCCAGTAAAATTCTAAGTAAATGGAATATTCTAATATTCTAATCGTGTTACAACGTGAGACGTTTTATTAACCGAACCACCTTACACATACCAACATCGTTTCAGTATGCATATCAATGAAACGGTAGAAAACTAATCAGGTACATAATATTACTATTATATTTATCTGCTTGAAACATTTAGACCGCCAAAAATTGAACACCTAACTGCATACATACGATTGCTAAAACCAAAAAATGAGAATGTGTCCCAAAGCGATAAAATTAACGTCATTAATTTTACACCGAACTGTCATCGATATTCATATTTGCATAATTTCACCACCGGTTCTGTCGCTAATACCTGCAGCAACTTTTGCCATGAATAAGTAATTTATAATTAAGCTTTAAGAAGAATCCCACATGCGAAATACAGTGCATCATGTGCAGAGCATTAATATTTCACTCACTCTATAACAGGTGAAACTCTTAAAATTCAGTATTTAAATACATATCATACTGAACTCATTGGAAAATGTTATACAGCCTGTTCTAAAAATAAATTAGGATAAACGTGTAGACCTCTTTGCTACGAAATTTAGTTTACTGCTTTCTTCTCGGATCTTGTACAAATGATCTGTGAATTATTTATTTAGCAACTCAAATCTGAATTTATAATTTAAAATGCTTGTCTTTTTCTTAGAGCAACGGTTGAAAAGATTGAATTTCTTTGTATCAATTTTCACCTATCTGATGCAACATTCAAATGATTCCTGAAATTTCTAGAAACCAAAACGGGCTAGGATTCTAGTTTCTTTCCGACAGGTCTGATAATTAAATATTTACTTTATGATGATGAAGGGTGGCATAAAAAATATGGACCTCCTGGTCCAGACATTTTAATAGTTATGTATGTAGTTCACGGATCTTGTACAAATGACCCTTCGATTTTTTCATACAACTGGTTCCACAATCGCGGAGTGGCTTAAAAAAAGGTTCCACGGTGGGTGTAAGGTAAATATGTTCATGAAGTGGGAGGATCAACCAAATTAATGTTGACCTTGGGATATTTCAAGTACTATTTACATATAATACTTAGCATGTTTAGGGGTCTTGTACAAACAAATGACCCGCGAAATAGGTAGGAAGCCGAAACTGACTCTAATTCCCGGTTGATATGAATGAGGTTTAAAGGCTCAAAGGCTGAATGTTTGAGTAGCTCTTATTTTTCAACAGGTTGAAATGTTAAGATTTGAGACTGCTCAAGCTCAATTCCCATCACTGGACGTGGCACACACTACATAGAACTCCTTCTTGAGATATTTTAATAATTTGTTCCCGGTTCTTGTACAATTGATCCGCGAAATGTTTAGAACTAAAAATCGAGCCGGAAAGGGGTTCTTTTTTTGTTTCAAAATTAATGAAGGTTAAAAAAACCTTAGTTGATCATTTTCTAATAGATTTAATTTCAAGACATCCTTAATCCTTAATAGTCAAGATTCGTTACGATGAACGTATCGTAAAGTATGTACTGCGGATATATGGACCTCCTAATTGTTAACGCACTTTACCAGTTTGTTCTCGGATCTGGTACAAAAGACCCGTGGAATAGTTGGAAACAAAAATCGAGCCGGGTTCGAGTCCGATTTTCGTGTTTCTCGATGAACACAAGGTTAAGAACTAAGAAAATCCAGGATTTGTAAATTAAGTTTGGCTGTTTTTCTTTCCATCATTTTTCAGACATTGACTGAAAAACATTGACTCCAAGGAACTCAACCTGCCACCGATTATCAATCGACAAGATCAGAATCATGTATTTCTGTGTCCACGGAAAAAGGACGGTTTTAATTTTGTTTTGACCTTTCCCCTGATGTGTTTAAATTTTAGCGCCAGTTCTGTCGCCTATACCTGCGGCAACTTTCAGCAAGAATAAGCATGTAACTAATCGTTAAACCATTAGAGCTAACTGAAAGATGATAAGCTCACTAGGTACACTATTTTGGTGGGTGTAAAGTTCAGCTATTTCACTATATGCGTTCAATGCACACTATATCGGTTTGAAGCAATATGCACAAAATTTCCGTGTCAAAACAAATTTTGAAAAGGTTGTGACGATTTTATTAATCCATGGCTAGAAGTTTTATCAATGCTTTATAAAGCAGTGAAAGTTGTTTGGTTTTGACTTTTACATATTCCACTCTCTTTCTCCAGCTCTGAAGGAGACATTGTACAAGCGTCCAAAATGTCCAAAATGCTTAAAAGTGTCTAACATAGACACTTTAGAAATGGGAAAAATGCTACAAATTCTTTATCATCAGTTTTAGCAAATCTAGGCACAGATACGTATTTCATCTCCCACTATTTCTGAGCATTTTGGTATGTAATATGAATTTTTTTGGAATTTAGTAATTTAACTTTTCTTAAGAAATTTTCAAAGAAACTTTCCACCCACCTAAATAGCGTACCCAGTAAGCTTGTGTATACATATGTATGTATGTATGTAGTGTCTCTTTTAAGTGGCTTTATTCTACACATACATATGTAGTGCAATTATCGGAGAGTTTTTTTCATTTCACAGATAAAAAATTAGTTGTTAAAAGGAAAAATTGAGGTGACGAAGCACCAAAAAAGTAATCCCAAAAAAATCTGTATGTGGAATTATATAATACCTAAAGAAATATTAATGCATTTTGCACATATTCTGCATATTTTTTTGCATGAGGGTGAATAAAATTTTGTTTGGGTTTATTCTGCAGAAATTTGTGTATATATCTAATTCTGAATGTGTGTACAAATCGCTCTGCATATTTTTTTCTGTAGAAATTCGTGTCACATTTCTGCAGAAAAGCGATTGAAATTTTTACTCTGGTAGGAAATACGGCTCACTAGTTTACATTAAATTAAATCTCTAATAATTTTGATGTATTATGTAAGCGTGCATAAATTGTATGACAACCTAGTAAATTAGTAACGGTGCAATATTTTTAAATTAATTAAGTTCTCACGATTTTTTTGAAAAAAACGTCCAATTCCAAAAGGTGGATCCAGCACAATTTTCAAAGCCTTGATCTTCTCCATTTCCATGTAATCGACGACGAGGGTGGTTTCATTGGCTTGATTATCCCTATCCGTCTGCAAATATGTAAATACTCCTTGGAATATATATACTTCAATGAAAATAGTACTCCTTCGTGACACAAAAGGTAATGGTTTGTAAAAAAACAATAAGCTTTTGGACTCGGGTAACTCACCAATCTTTAAATGTTTGAGAAATATGTATGTATATAGGTATGTACGATCCTCATGAAATTATGGTCGGTTAATAACGACCTGAAGTTTTTAAGTAGGCACAGTTACATCCAACTAAAATAAGGATAAGAAAAATTTAAAAACACAAGTTTACTAATTACGAATGTAAATTTGCTACATATTTATATTGAGTAAGCTTTTTGTGAAATTCTAAAATTTTCCAATTTAGCTAGGGTTTTAAATACGTACATACATAAATGTATAACTTTTAAGATGCAGAAGCGGTTTGGAAATATTTCATTAAATTTAATAAATATGTACCTTGAGAATTAACTACAATTATGCGTAGTTAAAATTAGCGATTACTTATACATAATTTTCCAGGGCTTTCACTTTCACCTGAAAATTTAGTATTTCTTTGTAACAAAAAAACTTAATGGCACACATAAAAATATTGCACGATTTTAATTAAGGTTACCTACTTACTTTTATGTATCTTTTACAGTGGGCCAACAATATGGTCCCGTGTTTTAATAAATTTTAAACAGCGTGGCCAAAACCAGCCATCCAGTGAAGGAATCGATCTGACAGAATTTTAGGATGCACACTAACTTCAAAAAAATATATTTCTGGAATAGAAAATAATTCTCAGGAAATACGTATGTATTCACTGCTGTTTGGAACCAAGATAAATATGTCTTGTTGCCAGGCGAAAGGATTTTTGAAGACGTGTCACTAAAGACTTGGGATGAATGTAATTACGTAATATGCATGTTTGCTAATGAATGAATCCTCGTCAAGGAGGAGATCACATGCAGAAGGTCAGATTAACTTGCTTACAACATACAACACTTTATGTATCAATACGTACGTTTCATGAATCCAGCTTTATGCAAAATTTTGTTAAACATCGGTTTTCATTTAATTATTTAGTATTAATTTAGAGGGGAGCCCTTTCCCTGTGTAGGGAAACGAAATACATTTATGGAAATGTCCTGTCCGTCCGTCCGTATCCATGATAACTTTTGAGCGGATTCGAATTTCGACATAGATGCAGTTTTTGCCAACCTGTTTCTAATTTTTGAAGTACGGATGAGTAAGAAGATGGGCGCTGTATTTAGGTCGTTAGTTCACTACGCCACGGAGATGAGACCAACGGTCAAATGTGTCGATTGTTTTTGTATCGATAATAGTTTTGGGCGGGGATTTCAAAAATTGACATAGTTTTGACGTGCCATGACCGCGTGACCGTGTCGTTTCACCCCTTTGCAGCATTTTGTTTGCAACGGTTTATTGACATATGTACATACACATACACACAAAAGTATGATAAAGGGGACCTGGTAAATAAGTATGTACGTGCTTAATTTCTTGACTATGTGATTAACCCTTTTCTATGATTCTTAATATGCAAATATTTATTATTCTTCTTTCCATGTTCATTTTACATACGTTTATTTCGAAAAAGCTAAACGACCAGCGCCGTACATAAATTTCCCTATCTGAAATCTTAATATTCTTATTCTTATTCTTAATATGTATGTACATATGTATTTAATTGAACTCGAGTAAGTACATGGTAACTATTAGTATCCATCGTTAAATAACTTAAAAAAAATTATTCTATTCAAGATTATTTACTAAATATGTATGTACATAGATAAATCAGTGCATAATAAAATGTATAAGTATTTTACTTGCGATATTTAAATGTGTATAGCATTTGTCAGGAAAATGGTGTAATTTGCAGTCTCACAATATCGATCAGAAGACATCGTAGACCAACCTTGCAGTGCAGTGGGGCGCCTATTTTGGTAATTTTTGCGCACTTGCTGCGCGGGGCGGCATGGTGAAGTTAGCACAATTTAAAAGCTGGCTTATCGATAACGAGCCAAATGTTGGGACGTACATATAACGATTCGCGTAAGTATAAGTGTTGGGAAATCAGTACAAATATAAATTGATCGGATTAGACAAAATAGTTATATAATTATCTATAGGAAACACGTATGCAAATATAAATATACTAGCCTATAAGCCCGTCTTAAAGACGGTCCAAATTTAGGGTCCTAAACGAACCAACCAATCATAGGATCAACGAAGTAAATATGTAACTGGCGCGAATTTTGTTAACGGAATTTTGTTAACCTGGCCAAGGAATTTGTTAACGTTGCTAAGGCATTTTTTAACGTTGCTAAGGAATTTTTCTAACGTTGCTAAGTAATTTTGTTAACGTTGCTAAGGAGTTTTTTTTAACGTTGCTAAGGAGTTTATTAAACGTTGCTAAGGAATTTTTTTAACGTTGCTAAGGAATTTTTTTAACGTTGCTAAGGAATTTTTTTAACGTTGATAAGGAATTTTTTTAACGTTGCTAAGGAGTTTTTCAACGTTGCTAAGAAATTTTTTTAACGTTGCTAAGGAATTTTTTAAACATTGTCAAGGAATTTTGTTAACGTTGCTAAGGGGTGTTTTCACCGTTGCTAAGGAATTTTTTTAACCTTGCCAAGGAATTTTTTAACGTTCCTGAAGAATTTTTTAACATTGCCAAGGAATTTTTTTAACGTTGCTAAGGAATTTACTAACGTTGCCAAGGGATTTTTTAACGTTGCTAAGCAATTCTTTCAACATTGTCAAGGAATTTTTTTAACGTTGCTAAGGAGTTTTTTCACCGTTGCTAAGGAATTTTTTTAACGTTGATAAGGAATTTTTTTAACGTTGCTGAAGAATTTTTTGACATCGCCAAGGAATTTTTTTAACGTTGCTGAAGAATTTTTTAACATTGCCAAGGAATTTTTTTAACGTTGCTAAGGAATTTTCTAACGTTGCCAAGGGATTTTTTTAACGTTGCTAAATAGGAATTTTAGGATTTTATTTTTATTCTATTTTACTTGGGTAGGGAGAAATTTGCAGGTAGCTAGCGAATACTTTTAGGATTCTTTAAACCTAAATCATAACCGAAATCACAACCGAAATCATACCGAAATCATAACCGAAATCATAACCGAAATCATAACCTAAATCATAACCGAAATTATAACCTAAATCATAACCTAAATCATAACCGAAATCATAACCGAAATCATAACCGAAATCATAACCTAAATCATAACCGAAATCATAACCGAAATCATAACCGAAATCATAACCTAAATCATAACCGAAATTATAACCTAAATCATAACCTAAATCATAACCGAAATCATAACCGAAATCATAACCGAAATCATAACCTAAATCATATACGAAATCATAACCGAAATCATAACCGAAATCATAACCTAAATCATAACCGAAATTATAACCTAAATCATAACCTAAATCATAACCGAAATCATAACCGAAATCATAACCGAAATCATAACCGAAATCATAACCGAAATCATAACCGAAATCATAACCTAAATCATAACCGAAATCATAACCGAAATCATAACCGAAATCATAACCTAAATCATATACGAAATCATAACCGAAATCATAACCGAAATCATAACCTAAATCATAACCGAAATTATAACCTAAATCATAACCTAAATCATAACCGAAATCATAACCGAAATCATAACCGAAATCATAACCGAAATCATAACCGAAATAATAACCGAAATCATAACCTAAATCATAACCGGAATCATAACCGAAATCATAACCTAATTCATAACCGAAATCATAACCGAAATCATAACCGAAATTATAACCCTTCTCTGATTGGTGGATCCAGAATTTCAACAGCCAATCAGAATGCAGGGATGTCAAGGAAAATTCCACGGGACGGACTTTTGGAAATTATAATATAGATATATATATATAAAGATTTTGCGTATATACGAAAATATAGGTTAGGTGTTTCTTTTTTTAATTTTTAGCAGGGATACATAATTTGATAATTTTCACTGTAGTAATGTACCGATGCACACATCTCTTCGAATACAAGTTATAATACTTGAATAAAATATGAATATTTTTATGGAGTCTGGTTTTTCATGATTTGCTTCGGTTCATTCAATCTCAAAAGCATGGGAAGGTATAAGCGTCTGGAAAAAAAATATTAAAAAGAATTATATGTACTACTGAATAGACAATTACATAGATAAGGCTAAATGCTACATTAATTTCATTTCCAATCTAAATACGCATGTAATGATGCAATGAAGTCTAATTATACTTTTGCGAAAACCATACTATTTTTATGGTGCTGGAGAAAGATACACAAATGGGGAGAATAAAAATGGGAGAAATTTTCAATTAAAACTTTTCATATCGGTTATAATGTTATAAATATGTATGTACCTACATATTTACATCATCCGGGAAACTTTTGCACTATTAAAAACCTGGCGAGCCACATAGATACTCCTTGCTGGTATTGATTTGATAATAATTTCCTACCGGATTGATAGTAAATTGTTCCTGAGTGGTAAATATTTCCTTACCACGACATTACTAAACCGAAATTCCCGTTAAGTAGAGTCACATACATATGTACATACTACGATCGGTAATGATTTAATACCAGATTTCTAAGAGCTTACCAAAAAAATTACTCACCACTGCCTGGCCGTAAGTCGTACAAGATTCTGAACAAAGGCAAGATTGGACATAGCAAGAAACACAATGCTAGAACAAATAATACTCCAAGCTCCAAAATTTTGAACAACTTGGGCTGAAATGCGTTCCAACTAATAATCTGTTGATTTTTACTTATCGTCGGAAATAATAAAGTCGCAATGTTAGTGATAACCCCCACGATACGCGTGGTGACATAGAGGATACACATTGTTAATGCGAAACAGAAAAATCCCAACATTTCAGAAGAGAGGGTTAAATGTAAAGATTCCATTTAAATATTTCTACCTAGTCTAAACTTAAAAAGTGATAGTAGAGTAGACGACTATATTAGGTTAGTTTTAAGGAATTTCAAATTGCTTTTTGTTCCATTGAAAATCCAGTTAAATTTCACGTAGGAAACATGTATCAGACTTGAAAATATATTCCTCCTGTGACCATGAAAAATTGGTTACCAGAGGAGAAGCCTCTATCAAAAATACGCACGAAATTTATTGAAAAAGTGTATCATTCCCGGGTCAGAAATTTTTTTGTGACCCTGACACTTTGATGGGGCTCAGAACAGACCTTTTCCTCAATTTTAATCATGATTTGGCGGTGAAATCAATTTCGGTTCGAAAATACCAAGGACAAACTTAAATCGGAAATGAAGTCAGAAATAGATTTCGTCAGCCAGGTTTTCACGAATTTCGCTGCATTTTTGCTGTGGGGCCCTGCACATAGGTCGGTGGCTTTCCACCCAATATGGACTGGTCGAGGGGGTGTTCCATCTTCATTATGACGTCAATCAAATATTTTTTAAAACTATCTCCTCTCCATAATCGAGGAAATTGGGCGGTTTTTGCCCGATTCCGCCGATTCCCGCCAAAACAATGAATGCAGCCCGATAAGATAGCATTCGACCTCCTTTTCGTAATCAACTAACCCTAAGAATATTTAGCATCAATTCTGCTTCTTTTTTTGTGGAAATATGGTTCCGTCTTAAAGAAATTCCCATCGGTAAATGGAAAATTTTTTTTTTTTTTACCGTACCGCTGGGAGAGGGAGGTCGATTTATTGACCTTAGCTTATGTCTATGAAATGTGTAGGGCGTGATGATTTCTACTATAAAAGGCCTCCATCTTAGGATCATTTTTCCGTGCTCATCTCATTTCTAAAGTTGAAAGGTCATTTGCATGGCCCAAGTCTTGGGCGTCAGACAGAGATTTTGTGCTAGTCTGGCGTTCAAAGCTTCGGACATCACTGTAGTCCTCCTTGACCTTGGACAACCGGAACTTTTATGTCATAAATAGTCACAGTCCCTAGGGTTAATTTAATGGGTTGGGCAACCAGATCGTAGTTGTCCTTGAATTTCTACCCTATATCTAACATTGTGAATTTTTTGTCTCTCGTAAAAAGTGAAAACTTATTGTCGCGCGCGTGTGGTAAAGCTCTTCTAGCTTTTGACCTAGTGAAGTCAGGCAAATGAGGTTAACAACAATGATAGCCACTGAATGCAGGTACAAACTGCAACTTACATTTTAATTTTATGTTGACCGGGTCAAATACTACGCTCTACTATCACTTCTTATGGTTAGACTAGGTATTTAACAGACTTAGAAAATCTGAATTTGTGTAAAACCGGATAAGTAATGAATTTTCAATTAATTTCGAGTTTTTTTTAAACGAAATTTGAATATAAAATGTACATATGACAGGTTGGGGAGAAACGTTTGTGTATGCTTTCAATTAGGTGGATGTGAGGTTTTTTTTTGGTTCGGAAACCATGGCACCGATTGAGTAGGGGAAGGAAAGGAAGGAAAGGGGAAGTTTGTTTGTTATGTTATCCGATTACAGCAAGTGCATATTTGTATATGGGAACGTCCATATATTACGTCATCATTTTAGTGGGTGGGTGGTCTTCTTATCTTTCCCACGTTCAAATTCCCTATCCCTTAATGTGCACGTTGGGTGGGTGGGTGCTAAAATCGAGAATTTTCGATGACGTAATATATGGATAGCCCTTCTGTGTGTAAGCAAGTGTAACTGTACATGTGCTTATACAAGGATGAGATTAGGGATCGTGCATATATTGCGTCATCAAAATGGGTGCGTGGGTGGTTTTAATCTACTCATGGTTGCCATAAGTAGGATCAAGAAAGGGTGGCTGGGGGGTCGAAAGATCAGCGTTTTTTATTATGACGTAATATATGGACATTCCCTTCAGAAAAGAAAGCAAAATTGGGTACGTGCCTGTATTTATTGAAACGTTTATATTTATGGTACAAAATTTGGGAAATCAATTCCAATAAATATGTAAATTTCACGAAAATTTTGTGTAAAAAGTGTGTACATGTATTCGTTAGTCTCCTTCGTGTAATGCTGCACTGCTAGTTGCGACCGGAACTTGTGTCTCAATCATTTCTATGTACAGAAAAAATGTTATTAACAAATCTATAATTTAGAACTTTCTTTTCTTCACAAAGGCGAAATTATAATCAAAACCGGAATTTTGAAAGACGTAGAAAAATTTAATTTTGTTATGATTTTAAAAGTTTGTAGGTCAACAAATTTTAAGGCTGGTGGGAACAATCATGAGTATTTGCGATACCCATTTAATTATTTTCCAACCTAGATAAGTACTTATTACCACACTCTTAATAATAATGATACCCTGCTGAAAAATTAATTCGCTATGAATTCGATAGTAAGTTTAGTATGTTAAATCTGGAGCAATAATAACCTGATAAATAATTAAGTTTGTTCAAGATTTATCTAGCAATTTCTAGCAATTTCTAGTGAATTTACTTTTCCATAGTGCAGCATTATTTTTAAGAGTGCAAATACCAATAGTATAATTATTTATACTACACACAAATTTTGCCTTACCAGCAACCATGATGAATTGCATTTCTCTCAGCTCTTCACAAAGTTTGGAAACTGTCGCATTCTCCCCATTGGAAGTGACCCAGTCGGCTAAAACTTTGGAAAAAAACTCGGCAAAAGTTATCGTTCCGGCGAGTAGTTGAAGCTTAAGTTGTGCAACAAGTGTGCGCTCCGTTCCTAAATGAACTGCCACCATGTTATGATTATTCAAAAGGGTAGGATCCTGCTCGAAGATTTGTACAATTTTCGAAATTTGTTCCGAATTTAGTCTCATTTTCAGAAACTTGTGACCAGAAAAGTGTCCGATTTGGTGAGAATGTAGTATGGAAATGAGTGAAAAATTCACAAAATTCACATGCACAGAATTTATTTACGTAAATTAGATTTTATTAGTTAATATTAAACAGGTTTGGATTTTAATTCAGTGATATTCTACACGAGCCACATAAGCAAAATGCAGAAGGGATTCGTTAATATTCCATTTTCCAGGGGTTTAAACCCTCGTCCCATTTCACTTTTCGTATTCTCTTTCCTAAAATACTTCCAGTGTGACCCATGCTTTAAAACAATGCCGTCTTTATCACCCCTTTGACCTTTTCCATCCCGATCATTCCAACTTTTTCTCATGCTTAAATGTAGCACTTTGTACTGGTACTTGAACTGAACATGGTCTATTCTATACGCAATATTACACAAGTCAATGTACATACTACAAAAAAAAATATTTATGGTGATCTCATTTCGTCACGCCTACTTGTACTGGCCAGAGATTAACTAATCAGGTCAAAAACTTAAGGAAAAGCTAGAGAATGGCTCAAATATCATTTTCCCAGAATTTAAAGGATACGTAAAATACTTGGGATTATGTAGACCATTCTCGCGAGACATTTTATGCATCTGAGTAGCATAGTGTTATTAAATAGTCTTGGGTTCATATTTCCCATCTTTTCGGTAGACTTTGTCAAATTATTAGGAATTACATATGTATTACAAAACTATGAGAATTATCAGAAACTTTATTAAATTTAACACGATTTTAGAAAAATGCAGGCCGCACGGATGCAGAAATTCTGCAATTTTCCTGTAAAAGTTCCTGATTTTACATGCAACCCAATTCGCACTTCATAATCTCAACATACATATCCTTTGTAAGGCCGCATTACAAAAGTACATAGAACTATTTATTTGCCACTTTGCCAATCACTTCTTTATCTGCTGTTATCATTCCAGCCATAAATTTGTACGTATACGTATTGTCTGACAAGAACTGGAGAAAAGATCAAATTTCAAGCCTTAGCGTAACGTGCATGTATGTACGAGGGGGGAAATAAGTAATCGGCCTCGCCATGATCGGGTAATAAATTTGGGGTACTTGCCCTACTACTTTTCAATGTAGTTCCCTGGCAGGTCAACACACTTGGTCCGCTAAATTTTAAATACTCTATCCCGATTTTATAAATTGTTTTCGAAAATAAGTCAAAAACGCTGTTTTCACCTCGTCAATCGTCGAAATCTCCTCCCCCTGAGATTTTTTTGAAAATTTCGAAATATAAAACAGTCACTAGAGGCCAGGTGTGGACTGTAAGGGGGATGAAATAATTTGGACATTTTTTGGCTTAAAATGGCAACCCTTCGAAAGTTTGGAATTTTTACTTAAAATTCGTCGTAAGCGTTTTCGTGAGCAACGTAATTTTTGTTCTCGTCTTTTCTCTCCAACTGCTTGGCTTAATTTTTCAAAATTGCGGTATGACAGGCACCAGGTGTCGACGTTTTCGGAGCCGAAGCGTCCAGAAGCAGAAGTCATTCTGAGTCCTAAAACCGGTGGCCAAAGCCGTCATAGCAATTTCTGTTCCCGGTTAGCTCCTATGTGGGTGGGTGCTTCCACTGCTTGTTGTTTTTTCTCATTTCAAGGTCATAACAATGAACCTAGGTTCATTACCTAGGGACTAAACGCAAAAAGAAGTACATGTTTCCGTTTTGAAAGTCTAAATCTACGTAACAAACCTGAGCTCAATTTTATCGGTTTTGTCAGTTTTGCTGTGTTTGATCACATCAGACGATCTCCTCGACTCAGCCGTGACCGTGAATTTTTAAGCTATGAGATCTGAGATACGTATGAGTTTATCTTTCACTCCAACAGATAAAGTGGGGCAAAATGACCCCCCTTGAAGGCGAAGCCGATTAATTTCTGTCCCCCCTTCGTATGTGTAGGTAACAATTGTCAAGAAACGACGTATTTGGCAGTCTCATAATATCGATCAGAAGTCAACCTATGTAGACCAATTATCAGTGCAGTGGGGCGCCAATTTTTGGTAATTTTTTCGCACGTGCTGCGCGGCGTCGTAAAGTTGGAAGAATTGAAAATCAGGCTTATCGATGACGTGTCAAATGTTGCGACGACGTATAGCGATTGGCTTCGGTATATGTGTTCGGAAATCGGTACATATATATGTAAATTGATCGCATAAGACAAAATAATTCTATAATTATCTATAGGAAACACGTGTTTAATTTAAATACATATGTAAAAAGATAATAAGATAAATTTCTAAAATTTTCCCTGAAGATGATACAGCGTACACAGTATCGAATGCTCGGAATATGTATGTAAATATGTATATCTGCATTAAAATAATTCTGTCGTGCAATAACTCGAATTCTACTTATGTATAAACATAATATTTTGATGGAGTCCGGCTTTTTATGATTAGGTTCGATTCGTTCAATCTCAAAAGCATAGGATACCTACGTTCTATTGATCCAGGTTTATGCAAATTTTTATTAAACGTTCAGTTAATATTTATCAATGAAATGATGAGGGGTATTTACACATTTTTGCATTCAAACATAATTACATAAGTATCCTGTTAAAGGTGACATGCTAAATAAATAAATATGTTATTCATTATATGCAGACACATACATACTCACAATTAGATCATTTTAGAGTGAAATGTGTGATTATTTTACTGCGTAGGTAAGTAGGTATAATATTTGCCAGAAAAAGAGTGTACTACACAGGCAGTATTGTTATAAATTTGAGGGCTTATCGACGAAAAATTTGGCGGTGCTAATTTTTGCTGATTTTTCCGCATGCTGCATGGCGTTCCAAGGTTGAAATAAAAGTCATCAACGGTTGGACTGTGGCACTTTGAAAAATGCTACGAGCGACGTCATTTTATGGATACACTCAAAACAAAAATTTGTAAATCAACACCGCCGGTGTCAATATTTGACTTAACCGCCTTGGTTACAATTGTGATTCCGAGTGGTAATGAAATGTTTCCTTCGGGTCATAACATTATCACTACTGGTATCAAAATCATCATAACTCGGATTCAACATTGTAAGCAAGGCAGTTAAGTCATACATATATTGACACCGGCGGTGTTGATTTGACAAATTTTTGTTTTGAGTGTACGCCAGAGTTGGGACTTTTGATCAGCTCCTCACCCTCCCCTCCCCTCACCCATTCCTCAAATTTGTAGTCCTCCTCCTCTCCTCCCCTCACTAACTCCTCAAATTTGTAGTCCTCCTCCTCTCCTCCCCTCACTAACTCCTCAAATTTGTAGTCCTCCTCCTCTCCTCCCCTCACTAACTCCTCAAATTTGTAGTCCTCCTCCTCTCCTCCCCTCACTAACTCCTCAAATTTGTAGTCCTCCTCCTCTCCTCCCCTCACTAATTCCTCAAATTTGTAGTCCTCCTCCTCTCTTCCCCTCACTAACTCCTCAAATTTTTAGTCCTCACCCTCCCCTCCCTTTACCAGTGCCTCAAATTTCTACTCCTCACAGGGTCGTGAAATGACAAAACCGTCGATTTTTGAAATCCCCGCTCAAAACTACGTCTAAAACGGTCGAAACGAAAAATTCAACAATTTTCGACTTTGGCGACATCTACACGGTCATGGTATCGTCACACGTCGAAATGATGGCGATTTTTGAAATCCCCGTCTAAAAATAAGTCTAAAACGGTCCAAATAAAAAATTCGACATCTTAGACCGTTTATGTCATCACCGTAGCGCCGTGACTTTATGATCTACGACGCCCATCTTCGAACTCATCCGTACTTCAAAATTAGAAACACGTCGCGAACACCGCATGGCGAAATTTGAATCTGTTCTAAAGTTATCGTGGATAAAGACAGACAGATAGACGGACAGTCACAGAGCGGACAGTAGTATATGTATATATCTGTGTCTTACTCCCTCCTTTTACTCGGAGTAAGAGGAGTAAAGAGGACGAGGAGTAATTTACTCCTCGTCCTCTTATCCCCTCATCGACTCCTCAAATTTCTACTCCTCGTCCTCCCCTCCCCTCACTAACTCCTCAAATTTTTAGTCCTCGTCCTCCCCTCTCCTCAGTAATTCCTCAAATTTTTAGTCCTCCCCTCCTCTCCCCTCATTTTGGAGCAAAAACACTAGCTACTCCCCCTCTTTATTCCTCCCCCTCACTCAAAAATGAGGACGAGGAGCAAAAATCCCAGTACGCATACAGGTAGACATGTGTTCGGAATTACAGTAGGTATGTATGTAAGTACAAAATCTGATGTTAGAGAGTAGTGGCCAATTTGTATAATTATCTATGGGAATATGTACACATATAGAAATAATTTAATTGAGTCCAGTCCTCTTCCTGGTTCCATGATTTCTTTGTTTTCATTCAATCGCATTAAACTCCGGCGTCTATTAAGGCTGGAAAGTGTGGAAAAAATGTTAGAAATAATTATGCAACAGGAAAAATAATTAAAATAAAGATTACTATTGTAGGTAAACATTAATCTCACTTTGGGCGAATTATTTGGAGCCGTTCATAAATTAGGTAGCGCAAGAGGGGGTCTCCAATTATGTGACACACGTTAAGAGGGAAGCAGGAGGGGGTTACAAATTCTCAATTTTCACATCATGTACATAATTTATGAACGGTCCCTTATTCGCATAGGCGTACGGGGTGGTTAAAATGTCAGACAAATTTTTCAATGGGAAAAATTCGTAAATTTCCATTAGTTACGGAAATTTCGTATATCTAAAATGTAGCATTTTAAGAATTTTGTCCTTCAATTTTTATAATAAATAAAAACTCCAAATCTTGTAACTAGTGGCGATTTGGGAGCTTTTCCTATTGAAAAATTTCCCATGGTAGCACGATATTTAAACCACTCACCCTGTACTTGGAATTAATTCAACTTGTCATTCTTTAAAAACTGACTATTTTCATGTCATTGGAGATAAATAGTTAGCAAAAATGGGAGATAGTTTAATACCGGTTGTGCATCATTATATGTAGCAAAATACCACCCAGATAGAAAAAATACTCACCCAGGGCCGCGTCGCC